TCAAATTTATTTTGAATGGATAATTATTGATTGCGATACTTTTGCAATTTATTTAAGGCAAGGAAAAACGACCGCAAAAAAACGTCAATAAGTCACGAAAGGAAGCACTTTTCTTCGTTGGCGGTATGATCATTAAGACAAAACGGAGACTTAAGTATGACTTAACTCTAAGTCGAAGACTTAAGAATTTCTATGAAACACCCCCTGCTTAGAATTGGGCAAAGATCTCTATTAAGCGGCATCCTTCCAGTGATCACAGATCACGTAATGCATTTCTTGATCAGAACGAATGTATTTGCCGTAAAGTAAACACAGATGTCAAAACCTTAATCCCATTACCGAACACGAATCGGATCCCGAGACTAGAGCGAGTCCAGAATACCGAATACCGAGACCGGAACGAACCCCGAGTATCAGACCCGAATCTTCCGAGCAAGATTCGGTTTCGCTACATGCCTAGTCGTTTCTATTTCTCTAGAAATTTAAGCATATGGGTAGTTCCTGGTTTTCCTACCATCAAACATTAGTTTTTAAGTTTTCGGGTCTTCTCGATAACATATTATCGATATAACCTAATTATTTCTTGTTTTTTATCAATAGGAATGGCTTTACGAGTCATCTTTACTAATCGAAATATTATGTACAAATAACTTTAATAAAACAAGCATCAAACAGATTTGAAACGTAACTATGCAAAGAAAAGGAGGTCCTGTAATTCTACAAAAGCATGTTTTCAATCTGTTCACATTTTAATAATTTCTTAGTCCCTTGACTGTAAAGGAAAGGATCTGATCGAGTTAAAATGCCTGTATGTATGTTTGTATGTTCGCAAACTAGTAGAGTGAAACTTGAATGGATTAAAATGATATGGAGTAGGGAGTCGACTATACGGAATGAGAAAATGACTATGAGCCACATCTCCGGTGGATTCTATTGGTCGAAAGTGTTATACATGCAAATTCTTGCAAGCGTTAAATGTCCGTGAAAAGAATCCGTGAAAAAAAAATGTGAAGCTTGTGCATAGGTGTGTCGAAACTTCATTGATCAATACGAAGTTCCTCATCTATTTGTTTTTTGATTTTCTCTTTCACTATCACTTAACGGCTTGTCCACGTAACGGTACACTTCGCTGATCAAGGTTTTGAAAATTTTTTTTCGACATCGAAAGTTTTGAACATATGATTAGATTCAATTTTTTTATTCTAAGAACCCGTTTGAAACTCGTTTTTCAAAAAAGTTCATTTTTCATCCTGTTAGGAGGTGAATACGTCCACTCCCTAAGTTAAAGGTCATTCTGTTTTAACTGTTTCATCATGTATTTCGTTTATCTCTTTTCGTTCCCTTTTTATGTGTCGCCATACATATGATCTCTGTCTCTTTGTCCATTTCATCATATATATGTTCTCTTTCCTTTTTGTCTATTTCCTCATATATATGATCTCGTTCGGTTTTTGCGATATCATATGGTAGTTATCTATGTCATCAGATCAATGGTCTTGTACGCTCTTCTAGGTACTGTTTGATCATTCACAGGATTTCAATCTCTTTTCATTACGTCATTGGTTTCCAGACAATCCTAGCTTTGTGTGATTTAGAGTTGTACCATTTTGTTCATTTTAAATGTTTGATTTTTTGCTATAAATAATGATGTATTTTAGTAGGTTCGATAGGTTTTTGTTGAATACAAATAAAGTTTTATTTGCTCTATCAACTTAGACGTTCAATCGGTGAAAGGGATTTTCACCTGATGACAGCGCCCGACCTAACAACTGGGGAGAGCGGTAACTATTGTGAAAGTTATATCCTCACAATAGGCGAACTCCTCGTTTAGTGTGTTATTCTATTTATTATTGGAAGCGTAGTATAATTGGGATTTATTGATTTATATTGGCTTTCAAGTTTATGAACGTAATTGCAGATAGAACAAGGTCAAAAACAAACAAATTGACATCAAACATGAGCAACAATGATTGTAATACACAATCGAAACAAGAGAGTATTACAATTGAGGATGAACGTGGATATATTGATAAATCCACAACCACTTTATTTCGGGCAACATCGATCTTAGATGAGGATAAAATACGATCAGATGATAAAGTTACGTTAACCTCAATTTTAAGTGAGCAACACATACCAAATGTATTAATTCAGGATTTTCATGGTACAAAGCAAGAAGATGTGGTAGCATGGATCGACCAACTGGAAGTTGCACTAGATTTAACTGATCATGCACATGGTAAATGGAGTAAATTAGCTGCATGGTATTTAGAGGGTGAAGCATTAAGTTGGTATATTAAGAATAAAAACCAAGTTTATGACTGGGATTCATTTAGACAAATGATAGTCGAGAAATATCCAACATGTGATAATCATCATATTGATTTAATTAAACTGGAACAAGCAATTCCCTCTTCAACAACAATATTAAATACAAAATCTATCTCAACAATAGACTTAGCAAATAATTTGCTTAAAACATTGATGGAAATAAGGTAAGACAGTTACCTATATTTAGTAGAAAAGACAATGAAAATGTTACAAAATGGTTAAATAACATCACATAAATAGGAAAGATGGTGAATTGTAGTGATGATGAGTTATATCTCGTGGCAAAATTTAAACTAGAAGGTGATGCTCAAAATTGGTATCAAAAGAATCAAGATAAAATGTGTGATTGGAAAACGTTTAACCAATTACCATCCCACAGATTTCCGGCAATTCCGCCATCCAATGACCGAGAAATATTACGCCAATTAGCCGGGCGTAAACAAGCATGGAATGAACCAATTTCAAGATTTTATCGTGGCATAATGAATTTGTGATAAATACGATTTCAGTATGGCAGATTCATCACGAATTGGCTATTTACAAGATGGATTAAAACCGAAATTACAGCATTATGCATTGAGCCAACAAATAACAACACCACAATAATTTTTTAATATTATGCAACAATATGTACATATTCAAGTCAGATTATCAAATGTACAGTTCAATGACTTAAGAACAACAGCGACAATACACGAAACATCGACTAGAAAAGGTGTCCAACAATCAAATACAACATCAGTCGATCGCTCACAACAACAGCAGCAGTCAGTTCATACATCACCATCAACAAACAATCGTCCACAAAACTCAAATAGTAATAATCAGCACTATATTAATTTCAACACACGTCCACGATATCGTGATCAACAACAAGTATGTTATATATGTGGTCAGCCTTAGGCATGCACCAAACCGATAGTTCGGTGACCGAGCGGTTCGCTACTGAACATGTTCGCTGCCGATCAGCGAGCCCTAGCTTGGGATGGTTGGATGCCTGATCTGGGCTAAAGGTAAATTGAGTGAAATTGAAGCTTTTGAAGGAACTAACCAGTGAGAAAATAGACTAAAGTACAATGTGAGCGAATGTGTCTTCTACTGAATCGCTACCAAAGGTTTAAAAAAGTAGTTTGTCAAAGGTAAGAACATGAGAACGAAGAAACACATGAAAGAAATCTTTGTAAAACAGAAAAAATGATGAAGATTACACCAAACGGAGGAGCAGCCTTGACTACACCGTAACCGTAGATAGTCATGTAAAGAAAAGTTTGAATCAGAGCAGCAAATTTATGTTTACTTTATTCCAGAAAGTTGAAAGTACCTTTAGTTTCCATTATATCTGATTTAAAAAAGTAGACAGACAGTTGCAGCTCTAATTTGAATGTATCTTTATAAGATTTATGGTACTTTGTCCTTATAGTTTGTCAGCAGAGCGCTCGTCGATGTCTCTGATGAGAAAAATATAAATTATCGTATTTACAATCTTCGTCCGAACACGTTCGATAGCGATGCAGTAGAAGACACATTCGCTCACATTGTGCTTTAGTTAACCTATTTTCTCAGTGGTTACTTCCTTCAAAAGCTTCAGTTTCATTCAATTTGTCTTTAGCTCAGATCAGGCATGCAACCATCCCAAGCTAGGGCTCGCTGATCGGCAGCGAACATGTTCGGTAACAAACCGTTTGGTGTCGATCAGCGAATCCTAGTTCGGGATTGTTGCATGCCTAGTCAGCCTGAACATTATGCCAGATATTGCTCGCAATATTTAAACCAGTGATGGAATCACGTAATGGTGGTAGTGGCTCCAACAATCACAATATAAAACAATCACCTTTAACATTTATTACAGTTCCAGTGAATGGAAAAATGATCAAAACCTTGGTGGATACTGGAGCAACCAATTCAATTATTAATCAATCCACCTTATCAAAGCTTCATCATGTATTGAAACTGACAAATGACATAAAAAAGGAGGCTAAAATATGACAGGCGCTGAGGTAGAACTCTATATAGTGCAAATATAAATTTATGACTGCTAGGTTAGGGCAACAAAAAAAAGGTCAGTTTATTATGTGCTTCGAACAGTAGTAGTTAAATCGACACTTAAGTGTCGTTGTTGTTGTCTTTCTTTGGATTTTGCATATCCAAATGTTGATTAATATGAACCTTAAAAATGATCAACAGATAATACAGTCGACGATTGTTGAGTTACTTGCGAAACCACAGTGACGACGAAGAAACTTGTGACCAAAAAAGCATCATATCCAGTATCTGGCTCAACTCCAATTTGGAACCCGAAAAAACTGTGCCATCGCGGATTGAACGAGTGAGTCTACAACGACATCCTAAAAAATAAAAAGGAAATAAAAGATTGCATTGGGTAATGTGTACTACTACTTACCATCGATTGCTCGTCCACATGTTCCAATACACCAGTTGTTATGTTCATTATTGCAGGGTTTACTTGGTTTAAATGGAATCAGACCGAGCGCCTGACATAAGCTAACGGTATTTTCAAAAGAATCTGTAAACCAATGCCAGTCCCGTATGGTCATATCGTCGATAAGTGGTAAAGGATAAAATACCATTTGAAGAAACGTAGAAGAAACTTGAGTAGATTGAGGAAAAAGTGTGCCATTCTGCACTGACACATCCCATTTTATACAAAATTAGATTGAGACAAACTGAGTTTGTTATTATTGATAACTACTGACTAGGGAAGGTCCCCAACTGTCCAATCGCTTTTGAGCTGAACCTAAGTGGACAATAGGTAACCGAGGGTGCTGAATCCGAATATCATAATCGTTTGGGCTAACGTTGGGTTTTTGGATCGGTTTTCTGAAAAACCAGTTTTTCAAAAACTCTAAAAGATAACTAAAACCTTTCTTAATAAGACCTGATTGTAGCCCGCAGATTTCTGATTAAAATGATACCTTTACCAGCTCTACATGGCTTTTCTTTGCAAAGTTATAGAATTTACAAGAAAAGATCCAAAACTTGCTCAAAGCTACAGAAATAAAGAAAAAATTAATTTAGAGCTTTTCTTGTACATTCTATAACTTTGCAAAGAAAAGTCATGTAGAGCTGGTAAAGGTATCATTTTAATCAGAAATCTGCGGGCTACAATCAGGTCTTATTAAGAAAGGTTTTAGTTATCTTTTAGAGTTTTTGAAAAACTGGTTTTTCAGAAAACCGATCCAAAAACCCAACGTTAGCCCAGACGATTGTGATATTCGGATTCAGCACCCTCGATTACCTATTGTCCACTTAGGTCCAGCTCAAAAGCGATTGGACAGTTGGGGACCTTCCCTCGTTAGAAGTCAAAACTATGACTGCTTCTCACTCCTAATTAATTATATATATGTCGCAATTCTGTGCAGGAAATGAAATTTAATCATTAGGACGATGTCGTTCTATACTTCGCGTCGTCGATAGTTTCTTAATATAATTGCTCTTTTTTCTTCCAATAAATTCTTTTTCCTTTCTGTTACATATAATATGCGGTGTTTATTCTGTATATACGTTGTATGTGGTGTCTATTCTGTATAAGTATCGCGAAATCAGAATATGACTATGAGCGACCTCTACGGTCGATTCCGTTGGTCGAAATCTTCATTTCAACCTGAGGATAAAAATGGTATTCCTTGAGTGTACAGCAAATAGTCTCCTCGAGTTAAAATGTCTCTGTATTTGTATGTATGTCCGAAGCCTAGATACTAGCGACACACAAATTATTAGCCGACGGACACACTTATCTGCATCCTAACACACGAGAGTAGTGAGCATATTGCGTATTGTGTATCCAGGGGAAACTTCTGAGAAACGAAGGGAAAATCAGAGTAAGTGTGGGGAAACTGGTAAAGTTTGTTGGGCACTTATGGTAATAATGCCGCGACACAAGCAGTGGTGTACGATTACTTAATGGTAAATACGGCTTTTTTCTTTCGAAATCTGACAAGAAATTAGTTTTGGTGCTGCCGATCTAATCTTATTATCGGTCTCTTTGAACTGAGAATGATAGCGAATAGTAAAGGAAGTAGCAGACCGCCGATCAAGACAGAAATGTGGGGTTCAGGACAGTAGAATTTCCGTAATTACGTGAACTAGAGTAAGCATCATGTCTGTGAGATATATGACGAAAATAGCTCCAGCTCATGGTAAGTGATCATTAAGAAAGAACTGCTCTGGTCTACTTGTAATATTATAACCAAGTTGACTTGAAAGACAGAAATTGAATCGTTCTTGAAATAGTGAGCTTATGCCGAGAAAATGATTCCTGCTAAGAATTTTGCTTGCTAAGAAAACGCACTCGCACACTGCCCTCCCACGACACACTGCCCATACCCTCACCTCCCACGACACAGTGCCAAAAATACACAAATGTGTATTACGAAAAATTCGTTGAAGAGTCACGGTTCTATTCGCGACAGTGTCGGGAGCGCTCAAATGTCAGCAGCTCAAACATTCAGTGACGAAATCAGGTGCAACATTAGAATGAAATACACATTAAGTTTCTCGTCAGTAGATATCAAATTAAAAAAATAAATCAAAAAACAGACGGTAGAACGATAATAGAAATCTGATCTACATCGTAGTATTTCCTAAGTATCTTATTCAGAGAAGAAAATAATTATTTTTCGAAAACAAACAACAAGAAAACAAAGAACTCTATTTTTAAAAATGTTAAAAACATCCCTTATAAACTTTTTCGTCTAATTTATCTTTGTCACATTCATTTTGTATTAGATCAGTTTTAGTATTATCGTCGCGTTTTTTTTTATAACTACAACTATCCATTTTTCAATTGATCTCAAATATTTCGAATTTAAGTATGAGATTTTCTGTGATTTTGGAAATAAAACTGCATTTATTTTGCGATTAAACATATCCTTGACTATACCTTCTGCTTTTTTCTGTTCATCAATAATTTGATCATCATTATTAATGTGAAGGCATTCAGTATTAATTCGAACAAAAAAATAGCCTCTTTACTCGACGAATTAACTATGCTCAATGTAAAATAAATATTCGGTTGTAACTGTAATAAATATTTGAAATGTCTTGGAAAACCATCATAAGCAATTTTATATGCTTGATCTCGTGTTGGTTCATAGTAATCAATAATAAATTTTGTATTGTCATCAATCGATGGTAATTATTGTTGTTGTTCTGATAATTGTTTTAATGAATGATAAAAAACTAAATCATGTAAACTTTTTGACTGACACTTTTTTTTGTTGTTTACATAATGAAATATTCTGTTGTTTAAATTGTGCATCATTTGTTATTTCAAATGGAATAAAGCATAGACGTGAACGATGTAAACGTCGATTATACGCGTTATTCGGACGATAGGTCCATAAACGAAAAAAATGTATACATTCAAGTATGAGTAGTATAACTGATGGTATTAATGATAAACTACTAATTGTCGTATAAGCAACAGCACGAGGTGAATAACGATTTGCACATGATACACCCAAAAGAAAAGATAAAAAACGAAAGGAAAAATAAATAACGTAGCTAATGGTGTTAATAAGATTCCTTGTGGATATTCAGAATAACATTTAAAATTAAAACAAGTTCACGTTGATAAATGCCATAATGTATTTCGGTTACAACATGAATTAGTTGGAGTGTCATCGTCATTGTACAATGTTTTTAGACAACATTTTGTTATTAAATATAAATAATTCGAGAAAATAAGAACTAATGAACCAAATAATTTGAAAATAAGTATTGGTATCATATAAGATAAACTTTGACGATATGGCTGAGATGAATTTAATTTTGGTATCTTAACTAAATCTTCAGCACATAAAACGGTACATCGAATAAAAAATGTAAAAATATCAATTAAATGAAATATGATTAATAAACGATATCGTATTTGATCGTTAAAA